TGTGTGTATACACATACGTGTGATTTCTGAATTTGGCACGAAAATTATTAAATGATTTCAAAGCAAATTAGATCTACAAAATATTGGAAGGCACATTTGTATAACAAAGAAGGAAAATTGGCAAAGGAGGAGTAACAGCAGTAACCTGAAATTCAACATAAAATGCTACAAAATGAGTTCATGAGAAGGCATAGTAAATGTCTGTAAACTTGTGAAAATGCCAACATTTATCAAAGAAATGTTATCACAAATGTCACATAAAATAATGTAGAGGTAACACTATCGAATTCCCATCCCAAATTTCCCCTTGCAGATTTATAAATCCAATATCAATTAAATGCTAAATAATAAGAGTAGAAAAATGTACGTCAAAATAATATGGATAAGACACAGGAGATTTTTGAAATTAAGCTATTTATGCATTTATATTACTCACTGAAGCTCCAACCCCAATTCTGAGACACATGACAATTATTCTGAAACCCTGATTTGCATAAAAATGACACATAGGTTTTGTTGAAGTGAAGATTCTGATATATCTGGATGGAGCCTGACAGTCTGCATGACTGGTAAGCCTCAACGTGATGCTGACGTTGCTGATCTATGGACCACACTTTGAGTAGCGAGGACCTATGCTCCCTGAGGAAGAGTAAACTAGATTTCTTTAAAGTGGCTGATTTTGCTAGATCGGAAGGATAGTTTTAAGTTTGTGATTTTCCCTCTAACTAGAACATGGAAAATAACAGGTCTTTGTGAAACTCTAACACTCAGCTCCCTACTTTCCCTGTCCAGGAAGTTTGAAACAAGCAGGGGCGAGAGTGAGTTAGTGTGCATGCGTGTGTACATACACATCCAGGGCACAATAGTGCCCTCACACCTGCATTAAGGGAAGTGTATCAGCAACTCTCCTGTGAGTTCCCTCGGTTTAAACTTGAATTCCTCTAAGCACACAAACTTTAGAGAACTGTCAGGTTCAAATCTGCCCTGTCTCTGAGGCTAAGCCCCAGCTTAGTTCACACATTTCAACATTTTCCGTGTGGATGCCGTGAAGGTTGCCTGGAATTTGGAGATAAGCCCAGGATTAGTCCTGCTTTAAAGTCATCATGAAGTCTTGTTAGAAGCCTCAAGTTAAGTTGTTAAATGTATTTCTGAGAGCTTACTGAAAAAAATATATATATATTCACTAACTTTGGTAAGCGTCAGATAGCAAAAACATGGCGTTGGTTTTGAAATTTTACCTGTAGGCCTGTACCTTCCTGTTTTCATAGACAGTAGGCTTATGTTCTGAGGCTAAAACAACACTCTGTTTACCAAGCTCATTTCAGGAAGAATATCTAAACTGAGAAGTGCTGGGATGTTCATTTTTTAAAAGCATTTTGATAACTGGGTCAACTGGGTAAATTCAAGCTGATTTTTAGAAAGCACTTTGCACTGATTTTATAATTCGAAAATACTTTAGTATTTTTTTCTCTATTGCTATGAAACCAATTGTGCAGAATTCACCAATCATAGAATGATTACATTTTTTGGAACTATGAATTCCAAGCGATATTACACTTGTGCTATTAACATGGCTAACATGTTGGCTTTCCTTTTCTTTTTTTTTTCATGTGTAGCTATTCTACTGACCTGAAAGACATAAAATATAAAGCAGTAATGTTTGATTAAATCTTGTCAAAATTTTATTGCCTTTAGCCAAAGGACATTAGAGAATATTCAAAAGAGCTATAGTGCCAAGGTGTTAAAATGCATACTGAACAGACTTGGAACTAGAATATATTTCTGAAAATAAATATGAAGTGTAACATTTCAGAAATAATTTCCTGAAGGAGGCCAAAAAAATCCCCTATATTTTCTTGTACTTTAAAATTTGTCTAGCCTACTTAACTTGATTTTTAAAGAAGCGGTGGAAAATACTCCGATTTCTGGGTTGTCCAAAAGTAAAAAAAAAAAAAAGCATAAAGTATAATAGCTTTTAACAGCATGGCTATGCATCATATCTGACTAAAAAGCAGAGAAAACTTCTTTGTCTTAGAGGCCCTGTAAACAAGAAATGCCTGGAAATACCTTCCTTCTCTTACAATAGTAAAAACAATCCTGAAAGGAATTTTTGATAAACATTAAGGTCACTGACATAATTTAGGGAGGTGACATGTTCTATTTACCCTCCTTTTGTTGAAACTCTAAAATTTCATTTTTCTTCAGTACCCGTATAAACTACCTGCTTATTAGTAAAACTGGAGATTTAAAAAAAAAAATGTTAAGGCAGTCCTAATTTTTCCAACATGTTATAAATGACCACAATTCGTCTTCATATGCCTTCTATGAAGGCATGACTTCTAAATAACTTCTGTTGCAACTGGGGTTGTGGGGGCGACATGGTAGGCGATAGGTAGATGGGTAGATGATGGATGGATGGATGGACACATAGAAAGAGGACTGACTGATTCAATTTTGTGAAAAAGATTTCATTAAATTGAGAGGATCTCCTCACAAAAGTATGTAGAATATTGATGTTGTGTTTCCGGACAGTATTTGGGGAGGAGTGGTCAGAACTTGAGAGCAGTTGCTCTCCTGTGGAGCAGAGTTCCTTCAGCCATCAAAGTAGGTCTTCATCACAACCTCCCGGGAGGAGGTACTTAGATAACTAATGAGTTACTTATCCCCATTTTGATAAGGAATTTGAGACACCGCGAGGTTAATTTACCCAAAGTCATACAGTTCATAGTTGGTATCAGGATTCTAACCTGTGTTTACCATGTTGATTTTCTAGATTTCTCACAATTCAGAAAGCAGGAGTGATGCTTTTAGGTTCACCTAAACCCTAATATTTTATCAGAAGAGATTCTGTAATCTGAAACAAAAATTTGAAAGCAGGGCTTCTCTTATTCCATGCACCTTTAGAATTATGGTATATTCTAAAAGATTTGTGGAAGTATTTTTATCACATGTCTTTCAACGTTTAGTCTTACACTATCGTCAGGATAGTAAAATGAAAAGCAATATTCAAAAAGCTTTCTCGTTTGAAAGTTTAATGATCATAAAATACGACTTTCAACTTGATAGTTCACAGGAATAGAGTAACTAAAGGACAGATTTACGAAAGCATTAAAATAATGATTATCCTTAAAAATGTCCCGCAGGAAAGTCAAAATCACCATTACTCTCCCAACCAATCCTTTTTGTGTTGCTTCATGTCACTAACAGCAATGACATGGGCCATGCAGAACACACTTCCTTCCTGGGTAACATTCTAAGCAGAAGGGACAGTCTATCAAAGTCGCTACAGAAGGGACAGTCTATCAAAGTCACTACTATACAGAGATGACAATGATTTAAACTCAAGACAAAAGGAGATGCCACTATTTTCTCCCCCTTTAAAGACTTTCAGCTGAAAAATACCTTTGAGAAATATCCAGCAGAAACTCTACAAACCACAGTGTACTGCTACCAAGTGTCTCCTACTTTATTACCCCCAGGTCAAAATTCTGCTGTAGGAAATAGTTTACCAAGACAAAGTTAATTATGTAGAAAATTGTCCACAGATACACTGTCTTATTTCTCTTGGTACCAGTCAATCAAAAAATGCCATGTATTTGGTGATGTGTGGCCCCAGATCTTTATCCCCTTTTTCATTCTTTTATTTAAAAGCACAGTTTTAGCTTTAACACATGAAATGCCTATTTTTAGCCTGAGGTGGTAATGACTGCTTTGAAATAAGTAGCCTCAATTAGAATAAAAAAGAAATCAATGTGTTATTTAATTTAGGTACTTATTAGATACTGATTTAGATACTTATTGAACACACAACTATAGAAGCAATGCAAGGCAAAAACTACTTTGAAATCAACCTAAGTTACCAAGTTCGTAGTTTACTATTTTAATAGAACAACAGACAACCTTTTTTTTTGGCCTACGAACTTCAACACATATGAATTACCGGCAAACCCTGAATCAGTTTTTGAAGCGAATCATTGCAGACAAAAATGCTAAAGGAACCTCAAAGCTAACACACCAAGCAGTTTTACTTCTACAGAATTTTTAAGTACTACGAAGAAAATGTTTCTGTTGCAAATGAGATTTCCAAAACCTCAATTAATCCATAGGATCTCAAGACGCATGTCCTTGAAGGCATAAGAATAACACGCAAACTCGTTTCCTGCCGCTCTTTCTTACACACATACAGTACAGTTAAACAGAGCTCCTTCATGCAAGGAAACAGAAGGTAGATGAATATCTTTAGAAGAGGTTTCCGCCTCTCCACTCACACCAGCCAAGAAGAATTTTACTTTCCCCTATTTAGAGTGAATATGATTTATCAAGTCCTAATCTCAAGAAACTTTCTATAATCTTATTCCCCTGACTTATAAACCAAACTGTGTTCATGAGAATAGTAAAAAAAAAAAAAAAAAAAAGAGAGAACTGTGTCAAATTTTCTAATACACCACATTCCAGGCCTTTCTGCTGTTATTATTGTTCAGATATGATAAAATAGCTAAAATTGCCAAGTAAAAATATTTATTTGCGTTACTTATAATTTCCAGTATTTAGGAAGTAACACAAGCACAGCCTGGAGAATGTATCACACTGGTAAATAACAGAGCAGATCCTTTTCAGAAAGGGGAACAGATTTTCTGGTTCTACTGGAATATTTCACCATTCATATGTACTTACCGTAACATATTTTACAATGTTTGTCCTGAAGCTGCAGGTAGAATTTGAGGCATTCTGCCATTACCTCTCTAATTTACAACAGAAATGTAATACAAATTTCTTATAGGTCCCCAAATGATGCCCATAACTTTTCGTTCAATTCCTTTCGCATTTTGGTCAACATTTTATGAAATCACAGCATCACAACATAGACAAAACTTTATCATCTCCTTTCAGATAGAATTAGAAAGAAACCATCACAATGATCATCTGCTTTTTTTTAAAAGCCAGTAATGATTACGTAGGTGGTAAGAGAATCACATAAAATATTATTAACAACATCTTACCTCTATCACTGAAGTCATCAACCAGGATGATTTCTGCAATCAGACTTTCTGGGGTTCGGTTGATGATGCTGTGGATGGTCCGGAGGAGTGAAGTCCAGCCTTCGTTATGGAATGGGATAATGATGCTGGTGTTTGGTAGCCTTTCCAGGTACATCTTGTGCTTACAGCTGGAGATGACAGAGGAAGGAAAAGCTATATCAGATACAAGACTGTAATATGTCTTATACTTCCATTGACTCATTGTGTTATCAGACAACTGTGAAAATTAGACTTTGCCTAGTACTTGCCCAACCAAAGCTTCTACATCATCATATTTACTCTACCCATTCCTGGAATTCATTAATGATCTCCTTTCACACTCACTCTTAATGACATAATTATTTATCCTCTGTTATTCCAATGGCTCAAAAACAAGGTAAGAAGTACACTTGTGCTTCCTGAAATGTTGTGCTCTTGTTAATATGTTCTCTAATAGTAATAAGGATAAAATATATGTATTAACATCATTTCCACTGAGCACACAGCTAATGTTAAACTTTCCGGGAAAGTTTGGAAATTTAACTTCTGTAATATTTATGCCCAATTAATCAGTTTTGGTTGTGGTCTGTTTCCACAGCTGGGCAGTATTTAAGGCTCTAGGGGAGAAAAGAGTCTTAAAGTGAAATAAATGAAGATTTCATCTTAAATAGTCACACACTGATGCAACTGCATGCTAAGATTACATTAAGATCCAAATCATGACACTATCACATTCCTAATGAAAACTATACAGAGAAATCTCATGTTGCTGTTTTCACTGTAAAACAATCTGAGATGCCAAATAGGAAGTAGGTTTTAAATTTTGGCATAGTTTAAAGCCATTTAGTATATGTCATGGCTATTCTTTCAATATTCATGATTTATTTAAGTAATTTATAAGCCACATCAGGGCAGAAAGCTGGTCTCAAATCTGATTTAATTCTTAGTTCAGCACTGGTCATAGTTGCCCAAGCTTCATTAAAGATAATGAATTAATTTAAGTTTGTGAAATCTTTAAGTTATTTCAAAAATAAAATAGGATAAAATTTCAATCAATTACCAAATTTAGTGATTTTGCTGGTATGGATAACATGAAAACAAACAAAAAGAGAGTGGAAATCTGGAAAGAAATGCGGTTTCTGTTTAAATACAGGAACATCTATTATATCATCTTTTGCCAAGACACTGGCTACTGTCTAGTCCAGATATTATAGTGTGAATTTGAAGTATGCATAGATTCTACCAAGATGTATAGACATGTACCAGCATATTCAAAACATTACTTAAAATATGGTTTTTTAGTCAGTTATCTCAACACTTCATTCTACTATGATCTCAACAGGATATCTTAAATATCACTGTGGATGTAAAACAAAGAGATCTTGCCTTGCAGCTTCAGATAATAGAATATAATGTAATTAAAGCAAAAAAATTTAACTATCCTGGAAGGTAAAATAAAATGAAATAATTTAGACAAATAATTTAAATATAAAATATAGGCATTTCTTTTTTATCTTGTCCTTTTATTATCAATTATTTAATCGAAATTTTAAAATCTGTAACAATATTTATCAAACAAGAGATTTAGAGGTTTTCAAGTACAATGAAAAGCACTGGAAAAGACCATCAAAAGGATACCATGAAATGGACATGAAAATACTAGAAAAAAACATGAAGTTCCTTGTAGGATAACATAAAATAATTTAAAAAAGCAATATATGAAACAGATCTGCCAGTGATTTCCAAGAGAGTGTAGTGAGATGGATGCTTTCACATCTGATGCACAAATGTGGAAAAGAGTGCTAAATTAATTCAGCACATCTCATCATAATTAAGTAGAGCCATCCATCCTTCTCAACAAAGACAACAGCCCAAGACAAATGTGCTCTCTGTATCAATACTCAGGATAATACAAAACACCATACCTAACCATGCTCTGGGAATGTAACTGATATCCCCAAGAAGGCAAATTAGTTTTTAAACATTAAGAGGAGACGCTGTACATATCGCTTGCTTATTAATGAAATAGGAATTGCATTCAGAGTAACACATGAAAGCAATCAATAGGCTTAGGGCTTGAAAGAGATGTTTAACAGCTATCTACAATCCATTCAGAAAAAAAGGCAGACATAAGAGAATGCAAGACGAATCGTGTGCAAAAAGGGCTTTCCCTCATAAAAATGTTTTCGGTAATTTCTATGTAAGCTCAAATTATTACCACACAGGGGAGGTGAAAATATCCTTCTAATTCATTCATGCTCTCAAGTCCCAATGATCTGCTGAGGGTTTTCTCTAAGCCAGGAAGCAAAGTGGAGATAAAAGAATGAAAAAACCCTACTCTCCAACTTTAAGATGTTTACAGTACAATAGGAGACACAGAAGAGTAAAGACACAGTTAAAACTTTAAAGGGGAAATCAATACGTAGAAGTATAACAGGGTGCCACACAAGCATTTGAGAGAGACCCCTGAAGCAATTCGCAAAGTGCTACAGAAATGCAAGTGAGAGTTAAAAGTGGCCTGCAAAAGACCAGTTCGAGATATATTTAGGAAAAGAACTGATATGACTTAGTCACTTTCTGGGAGAAACAGTTAAGGAGGACTCCCATGTTTTGGACATAGGAAACTGATCTATGAAATACAGACCTACATCAGAGCACTGTGTGTAAGGGGCATTTGAGGGTTGCAAGGCTTGAGGGTAAACATGAGTTCAGTTTTGACCACATTAACTTTGAGGTGTCAAAATGATATCTAGTTGAACATGAAACCAGCTCTTTTGCTCCTTTTCTGTTTGTCCATTTCTGTTCCCCTCTAACCCTGAAAGAATCTAATTATAGGAATGAGATCAGTAAGCAAATGAAACCAACTCCTGACTTATGCTCTCCTGAATGCACACCATGCCCTGTCTAACCTGGTGATTCTTTTCCTAGATAAAAAGAAGAATGAGGAATGGAGTAGTTAGAGAATCACGGGCTCTCTGCCTCTAACAATCCCCTTAGCCATCCTGCTGGCAGATCACTCAGACAAGATGCCATCTGAAGAGAGAGTCAGCCAGTCTGCACGCAATGGAGATGCAGAACCCAACCTCCTGCCTTGATGATTCCCTGAGATTCTTCCCCCTTTTCTCCTGTAAAAACTGTCATGGCTGAGCAGAATCTTCAGAGCTGGTCTCTGGACACAAGTCCACCTTCTCCCCAGATTGCCGGCTTTTCTGATTAAAGCACCTTTCCCCTCTACTGACACTTGCCTCTCGAATGATTGATTGGTTTTTGAGCAGCGAGCAGCTGAACCTGAGTTCGGTAACAGAGCAATCGTATATATGATATACACATCTATCTGTCTATGTATGTCCCTATGTGTGCATATCTATCTATCTATCTATCTATCTATCTATCTATCCATCTATCTATGTGCATACGTGTATTGCTCAGAAAAAGACCTGATTTACAGGAGGCACAGTGATAGGCTCTAGCATTGATGCCAGGGCACTGCCACTATCTCCATAGCATCACCATCCCAACACTTGCCAAGAGGATCCTCTGATAAGTACCAGCAGATAGCCAACTGAATGCACTCTCTCAGCTCTGAAAAAGGTCAGATCAAAAGCTCTGGGGCAAATGGATGTCCCTAGCTTCAAGATGGCAGAGGAGTGAGACATGGAGATCACTCTCCACTCGACAAATACATCAGAAATACATCTACATGTGGAACAACTCCTACAGAACACCTACTGAACGCTGGCAGAAGATCTCAGACCTCCCAAAAGGCAAGAAACTCCCCACATAACTGGTTAGGGCAAAAGAAAAAAGAAAAAACAGAGACAAAACAATAGGGACGGGACCTGCACCTCGGGAAGGGAGCTGTGAAGGAGGAAAGGTTTCCACACACTAGAAGCCCCTTCACTGGAGGAGACTGCGGGTGCAGAGGGGGAAGCTTCAGAGCCACGGAGGAGAGCACAGCAACAGGGGTGCGGAGGGAAAAGCGGAGAGATTCCTGCACAGAGGATCGGTGCCGACTGGCACTCACTGGCCCGAGAGGCTTGTCTGCTCCCCCGCCGGGGCGGGCAGGGCTGGGAGTTGAGGCTCCGGCTTCGGAGGTCAGATGCCAGGGAGAGGACTGGGGTTGGCGGCGTGAACACAGCCTGAAGGGGGCTAGCACACCACAGCTGGCTGGGGTGGGGGGGAGACCGGGAAAAAGTCTGGACCTGCCTAACAGGCAAGAGAATATTGTTTTGGGGTGCGCGAGGAGAGGGGATTCAGAGCACCGCCTAAACAAGCTCCAGATATGAGCATGAGCCGCGGCTAAGAGTGTGGACCCCAGAGACGGGCATGAGACGCTAAGGCTGCTGCTGCCGCCACCAAGAAGCCTGTGTGCGAGCACAGGTCACTCTCCACACCCCCCTCCCATGAGCCTGTGCAGCCCGCCACTGCCAGGGTCCCGGGATGCAGGGACAACTTCCCTGGGAGAATGCACGGCGCGCCTCAGGCTGGTGCAACGTCACGCCGGCCTCTGCCGCAGCAGGCCCACCCCGCACGCCGTGCCCCTCCCTCCCCCGTGGCCTGAATGAGCCAGAGCACCCGAAGCAGCTGCTCATTTAACCCCGTCCTGTCTGAGCGAAGAACAGACGCCCTCAGGCGACCTACATGCAGAGGTGGGTCCAAACCCAAGGCTGAATCCCAGGAGCTGTGCGAACAAAGAAGAGAAAGGGAAATCCCTCCCAGCAGCCTCAGGAGCAGCAGATTAAATCTCCACGATCAACTTCATGTACCCTGCAGTGTGGAATACCTGAATAGACAACGAAGCATCCCAAACTTCAGGCGGTGGACTTAGTGTGATTTTGTCTGTACAGCTTTGCTCTTACCATTTGTCCGCGGGTTCTGTCTGTCCACTTTTTTTTATTTTTTAGTATTGATTTTTAGTGCTTGTTACATTTGTAGATCTGTTTTGTCAGTTTGGTTGCTCTCTTCTTTCTCTCTTTTCTTAATTGCTTTTCAATTTTTTCTTTATTTTTCATTATTTTGTACTTTAATAACTTTACTTTACTTAATTTTTTTCTTTCTCACTTGCTTTTTTTCTCCCTTTTCTTCTGAGCTGTAAGGCTGAAAGGGTCTTGGTGCTCCGGCCGGGTGTCAGACCTGTGCCTCTGAGGTG